GAATGGGAATGATGGGATGGTGGGAATCACGAGGGAAAAGGGGGAATTCCATGGGGAAAGGCACTCTGGGAAGTGACAGGCAGCTCCAGGGATAAGGAATGGGAATGATGGGATGGTGGGAATCATGAGGAAAAGGGGGAATTCCGTAGGGAAAGGCACTCTGGGAGTCCCCAGGGATGGGGAATGGGAATGACGGGATGGATCCGGAGCACGGAGGAGGAACGATCTGACAGCAGGAAGAGCTCCCTGGGAATACAACCTCTCTCCAAGAGGCTTTTCCCTGAGTCCCTCACTGGGAAAAGGGTCCATCCAGCTGCCCCCGGGATCCAGGGATTTGCTGCTGGATCCAGTTGGATCCATCCCTGCCGGGGCTCATCCCTACCTGCCGCTCCAGCGACACCTTGTCACATTCCAGGTCCTGGCGGCTGGAGCGTTCCTGGAGCAGCTCTGCCCGCAGTTGGTCGATCTGGGAACGAGGACACGGCCCCGGGGTCGGATTTTTCCACGTCCTTTGCCGGGTGGGACGACGGGAGCCGCCGGAATTCCCGCCGGAATTCCCGCTGGAATTCCCGCCGGGAAAGCGGCGGCGCCGGGCGGGGCTCGGGTGTCCCAATCCCACGGGACACCAAAAAACCTCCATCCAGAGGATTTTTTGGGTCCTTCCCAAACCAAATTCCACGAGCAGCCCAGAGCTCCAGGGCTGGAGTTTCCCACCAGAGAAACTGGGATTTAGGGAACTGGGAATTCGGGGGCGGGAATGGGTTTGATCCATGGATGGAACAAACCAGAACTGCCTCAGGCACATCCAAGGGTTTGGGGGAAAAGCATCCCCCGGGATGTTTCCCAAATGGAAAAATGGGAAACCCACCCATTTTACCCCCTGAGGGGAGGGAATTCCCTTTCCAAGCCCCAGGCTGGATCCCTGTGGGATACAGGGGACAGGCCATGGGAAGAGCTGCCAATCCCGGGATCCTGGGGAATCCCAGGAGGCTCCAGCAGCTCCAGCTTTGAGGGAATGAGCAGGTGGGGTCAGACAGAGGGAAGAGTCCAGGATTTAAGGGGATTTAAGCGGATTTGAGCCCCCAATTCCCACCCCAACCCCAAATCTCGCCCCGGAAATTCCTGGGAATTTCTTTGGGATTTTTTTTCTTTCTTCTCTAAACTCACGAAATTCCCGTTCACGCCCAAACTTTTCCAACACCACAATTCCCACTGTATTTAGAGTATTTAGCTGCTCGTTAAGGAGTCGTTAATGTGGTGTTAATCCCAGGATTCCCGAGTTATCCCGAGTTTTATCCCACCTGGTCCCTGCTCCGGTTGACCCGCTCCGTCAGCAGCTCCACTGTGCTCCTCTCCTCATCCAGCTCCACTTCCAGCCGCTTGGACTTCTCCTGAAAAAAGATTCGGGATGAGAAAGGTCAGTTCCAGCTGTGGGGGGGGGGGGGGGGGGATGAATGATGGGAAGCGGGAAAAGTGCAGGAATTCCAGAGGAAACGGACCCGCTCCGAAAAAACGCAAACCCGGGAAGCTCCAAAAACACAAAGCCGGGAAGCTCCGACGCATCCCGGGATTCAGGAGAGGGGGGAATGCTGGGATATGAGGCACGGCAGCACCCATCACTCCAGGGAGGGGAGAATTCCCCACCAAGCCCCGGGAAAAGCCGGGAAAAGCTGGGAAAAGCCAGGAAAAACTGGGAAGGGCCACACCGGCAACCCATAAAATCGGGAATACGATCCCATCCCGGCGCTTCCAGGCACCGGGAATGACATCCCGGGCCAGCTCTGCCCCTCGCTGTCGGCGCCGGGCACTGCAGGGCCGGGGAGAGGGAGGGAGGGATTTGTGGGATTTTTGGGAATGCACTCCCACCTCCAGCGCCTTGGCGTGCCGGGATCGCTCGTCCTGGGAGCGCTTCCGGGTGTCCATCTCCTGCTCCAGGTTGTGCAGGCGCTGGAGCAGAACCTCCTTATCCAGCAGGACGTTATCCCGCTCGGCCTGGCTCTCCTGGAGAGCCTGCTTCAGCCGGGACACCTGCGGGAAAAGGGGCGTTTCCAGGTGGGATGCGTCTCCAGGGAAGGGGCGTTTTCAGGTGGGATGTGCTCCAGGGAAGGGGCGTTTCCAGGTGGGAAGTGTCCCCAGGGATGGAGCATTTTCCAGGTGGGAAGTGTCCCTAGGGAAGGGGAGTTTCCAGGTGGGAAGTGTCCCTAGGGAAGGGGTGTTTTCCAGGTGGGATGTGTCCCTAGGGAAGGGCATGGATGTGTCCCCAGGGAAGGGGCGTTTCCAGGTGGGATGTGTCCTTAGGGAAGGGGCGTTTCCAGGTGGGATGTGTCCCTAGGGAAGGGACGTTTCCCAGGTGGGAAGTGTCCCCTAGGGAAGGGGCATTTCCAGATGGGATGTGTCCCCAGGGAAGGGGCGTTTCCATCTGGGATGTGTCCCCAGGGAAGGGCATTTCCAGGTGGGATGTGTCCCTAGGGAAGGGGTGTTTTCCAGGTGGGATGTGTCCCCAGGG